TTGGAAAAATTTAAAAGCTCATTTTAGCTATAGTTTTGCATTATAAATATTTAAAAAATACGGGGAGGGGGCGCCAAATTGAAAGTTTGTCTCCGGCGGGAGGGGGGGGGGGGCGCCAAATTGAAAATTTGTCCTCAGGCGCCAGGAATGGTGCTACGCCTCTGAGATTCAGTGATAAAACTACACCAGGTTCATCCGCCAGCTCCCCGGCGGTTGAGTGGCCCAGAGCGGCCAAGACCCATCTCGGGCGACACTACGGTTTAGATGGGCTACTATAAATGTTCACTAAGTAGAATAATGAGCGCCCGCCGGCGCCCTGGCAGTTGGCGACAGAGAGTGCCTCCTTAAAGAGCACCCTACAATAGGGACACGGTGGCACACGACATTTTATAATTAAACCGAATTAGGGGCGCCCTTGCGGAAATATAACCAGTGGCTCCCTGGAGCGCCAAGGGACGCGTCTCTAACACATGGGCGGTCGCTAATGTGTGTTCTACCTCACTATTACAGAGGTTGATTAACGTACACTCAAGGCTTTCATACAGTGAGCCTTGGTGCGTCTAGGCGGCAGTGTGGACAAACCCGCGCCCCAAAAACGAATATGTGGGTTTGTTTGTTTAAGCATTATCAAAGATTTCATTCGTTTGTCATTCAAATTTGAGAAGTTAATGCTAATACCCCTGTGGTGGTTTCTACGAAAAAAATTCGATTTGGTGGCGCCCTGGCAGGGTTCCATTTAGCTCCTCGGGTTTTCCCCTGAGTACTATGGTACCTTTGTTCGTTTTAATAATTGCGAAACGCTATGAATATGATGGGCTACTATAATCGCTCACTATACCGAGTGAGGCGCCTTCCTACCTACGCCCACCTACCTACATACCTAACTCCCTGCCTACGTACCTACCTATCTACTAACCTGCCTGCGCTGCTGCCTGCCTACCTACTTTCCTACCTACCGTTATTCCTGCCAAACTGCTTTCCTTCCACCCCGCCTGTCTACACACCTCACATCCTACTTGCACACACACATATCTTCGTATGTATATATGTATGTGTTAGTGTGCTCTAGGACTATGTATTTTTACATTTTTGTTGTTACGTAGAACTATTCAGTATAAAGGAGTTTCCTTTTTTTTTTTTGACGTTGTAACTGCCGCTAAAATATTCTTTTTTGTATGTGTGCATAAAATAGTGTAGGTTTATTAACAAAAGTAAATTTTAGTATGTATTTAAGTGTATATAATCATTTTCGTCAAGCCAATGTGTTCATAATCTTAAATTTAAAAACCCATGAAACTCGATAGCCAAAGATTTAGAATGAGAATAATTGCTATTTAACCAGTAACACCTATTCTAATTATTGTAATAATATTTTTTTTAAATAAATATACACAGAGATAGATTGTTTTCTTATATAATTTATTTAAAAAGTCAACTGTATTTCATAACGAAAATTAACACAAAATACATTCGAATAGAAACTGTCAAGGGAGACTACTCTAATATTTGTAGGAATAATAGTTTTTATTTAGAGTTTTTTTTTTTTATTATTAGAAGAAAAGTTAATCATGTAGGTTCTATAAAAGATTACCTTGCATTTAAAAAAAAGATATTCGATAGGTTTAGAATGAGAAATAGTCAAAATTATTTATTATATTTATTAGTTGTTTTTTTAAATAATATAGTACAAAGACCTGTTTTAATTATTTTTTTTAAATCTTATTTTAATTAATAAATTATAAATGAAGATCGAGGATCTATATTTTTAAAAAAATAGTTTAACTGTCCCTAAACAATTGTATCAATCGCTGAGAAATTAAGAATTAATAATTACGTTTAACGCTTTATTAATTAAACGAGTTGAATTATTTCCGTTTTGATAAACTCTCTCTCTCTCTTTATAACTACTAATGCTTTATCATTGAGTTTCTTAAGAGAAAAATACAGGAGAGCGGTAGTTATCATTGACTCTGTCATTGATAATTTCATTGAGTCTTTCATAGAAAATAGTGTTTGATCGGCTGGTCTGTCCGCAAAATATTTTTGCCGGACATCACATCAGAATATGTAGCGATATATGAAGAACTTTATACGGACTTTTGTTGAAAATAATATGTTAGATGTTTTAAATGCATTACCACAATTTTATTTAAAGAAGAAAAATATAAAATAAAGGCGTATTCGAATGTAGAAAAACAATTTTAATTATGCAACAGGAAAAGCATTTATAGATGTGAAAAAGAACGCATAAAACTGTGACGTCACTAATGTTTATACATTAACTAATGACGTCATCTGCCGTGTTTAGAATAAAAGGAAATGAACTATTTAATTCAAAGTTGATTTAGATCTACGTACACTATGTATACAATACAATTTTTCCGGGCCTAAACTCATAAAATTTATTTTATTTATTTGGATTCTAGATCTAGAGAGTCTAGATCTAGACGAGATCTAAATCTACGCAATAACTAGACGTAGACGCTAAGATCTAGATTTAGACTCTAACAGTCTAACTACTCTAAAATCTATTCAAAAAATAAATTTCTATATTAGGACTAAACTATTTCAAGACTTAATTATTCTGTCTGTCCGTCCGTCCGTCCGTCCGTCCGTCCGTCCATCCATCCATCCATCCATCCATCCATCCATCCATCCATCCATCCATCCATCCATCCATCCATCCATCCATCCATCTATCCATCTATCCATCTATCCATCTATCTATCTATCTATCTATCTATCTATCTATCTATCTATCTATCTATCTATCTATCTATCTATCTATCTATCTATCTATCTATCTATCTATCTATCTATCTATCTATCTATCTATCTATCTATCTATCTATCTATCTATCTATCTATCTATCTATCTGACAAGAAGGCTGTAGAGAAAACACAAGCAAAATAAAAACTTTCACAGTAAAGCGGAAGCGAAATATGACGTCATATTTAGCATATAGTAGAAAAAAGTCGACAGCCGGGAGAGTGCACAAAATAATATGACGTCATTAATTCTCGAGTAAACATAGAATTAAAAAGCCAATTTTGTCTAATCTATGTGGTTTGCGTGAAGAGTTTCTTTCATACAATTCTTCGGGTAGGGGCGAAGCCCCACCCTCGAGAAACAACGTCTAAGCCGACCCACCCCCCCCCCCCCACCCCAACTCAAAAGAAATTTCTTCATCGATACTCTATAATAAAAATTACCGCCTGATTAATGTGTCTAATCTAAAAAGTGGTTTGCTTGCAGTTTCTTTCGCGCAATTCTTCGGGTAGTGGCTGAGCGCGACACCAGTGTTTCTTACAGACTTTTTCCTCCCCGGAGGGGGAAACTTTTTCTAATCAAAAAAGTTTAGAGTGCACAGTTTTTTTCATGCATCTCATCCCCGCCCAGGTTCTTCCTTTAGTTTGTATGATCTACAAATGCGACCATTATTATCATCATCATCATCATCATAATCATCATCATCCTCGTTATCGTCTTCCTCATCGTCATCATCGTTCCTGTGGACCCCTCATGGTTATATGGATGGACAAATGCGACCAGTGTTTCTTTCAGACTTTTTCCTCCCCGGTGCGGCACTTAATGGTGTCACCCCCCCCCCCCCCCCAGAGGCGTAGCGACCATTCCCGGCGCCCGGGGATACACTTTCAATTTTCGATTTGCACCACCCTCCCTTAAACTTTCGATTTGCACCCCTTCCCCCCCCCCCCCGCCTCAAACTTTCGATTTGCACCCCCCACTCCACTATCGTCGGGATTTGTCAAATTTGCTCTTAAAAGACTTAAACACGGTAAATCTTTTTTAAGTGTACCAACTTGGGAACAGAACAAAACTAAACACAACACAAACGAACGCAAAAAAACACAAACGAAAAACAAACAACACTCATAACATAACACAATTTAAATGCAATCATAAAGGCATATTGCTCAAAGTCTAGCCCGTAGCGCCCTTTCCGGGCGCCGGCAGACGCGCCTGACTCAGTGAATGACTATAAAACAGAGGCGTGACCCTTCCCGACGCTCGGGGACAAACTTTCGATTTGCACCCCGCCCCCCCCCCCCCCAGCTCAAACTTTTTTCCAACCCATTTTGGCGCCCCCTAAGGTCGGTTTGATAATCAAAATTAGAAAATAGAGTTAAATTAATTTGATGTTTCTACCCTACTGTTATTATGTTATTAAAATGTATCCACTTTTTCCAAGAATATAAACGAAAATGATATTTGACATTGATACATTTAATATTTTTAGCAATGTGCTTGTATTTAATATTTTCTTTACGTTATGCAAAAGAGTAAAAACAGTGGCATTTATAAAATAGCTTCATGTCGTCATATAAACAAACCCTACTCTGGTACTTATAATAAGACAATGCGATGCACTGAAAGCATTGCATGGAGCGCTGTATTTTAATGGTTCGAAAATCTATAGCGATGACGGAAGGACTGACACACTACTTGGCCGCTTAAAATATAATATATATAGAAACGAGAAAGATTAGGGGAGATCATTCCCGGACTAATTATGTTGTCTTAATATTTTACAACGACCATCTGGATGTACAGTTTAATGTACACAATACACAACGACCAGCAGCAGTATGATAAATCAAATAAATGTACCTATGCGCATATGTTAAGCGCAAAATCGGTATGCCGCGTACATTTCGTTATTTTATTCTACCTGCTTTGCTGTAACTTTATGTATGTTACTGACGTTAGGCCGACCAGTTTTCAATAACTGATCTAGATAATAGAATCTAGATATCTACCATCTAGATCTAGAAGAGTAATATATAGATCTATATATATATATATATATATAATATATATACTAGAATCTATATACTAATACTATAGACTACAATAGATTCTAGATGTATTAAATTAAGTAATATAATAAGTTGTGGCACTCGGTATTAGTCATTATTAGTAGATCAAGCTAGATTTATAAAAAATGAGTATCTAATAGTACTAATACTAGATCTAGATCTAGAATCTAGTGTAATACTATTCTATAATTTAATTATAAGTGTACATTTGTACAAATATGAATATGACCAAAAGTCAAAACTCTCAAAACATTATCATCATCATTTAAGTAATAATAAGTTACAATAAGTAATGTTTAAAGTTTAATGGACTCCTCTGGTGATTTACAAACGTTGCAGGCATAGATTATATTTAATTAGAATATCTATGATGTTATTGTTAAGAATAAAATCCTACATTTCGCCGTTTGTAACTTGTGTTCACCCTAAACACACTAAAGTAGATCTAGATCTAGCAAGAATTAGATCTAGATCTAGTAACTTTAGTCTTAGTGCATCTAGATCTAGTTCTGTTTCTGAATGGTGTCTCATATGCTCAAGAAGCTACACAAAGAATGCACCATTATCTTCAATCTCAAAGGAGACAAAAGAAAAACTTAGTTATAGTAAACTAACTCTGGGACGCTTAATGGATGTTTATGAAGATGTGGTTGGTTTAGCAGAAGTTAAACAAGCTCAAGAAAAAGTAGTAAATGTGAGTTGTAGGCCTAATAGTAAGAATTAGGCCAATTTTTTTTTTCACTAATAAATAATTCTAGTTTAGTAAAGTTTAGTTGTTAGGCCTAAGTTTTTTGTTTGGTTTTTTACAAATCTTATGTGTATCAGTATCTATTGGGTAGATATTTTTTTACAGTAGCCCACAGTGGTCGTCCATAAATGTCAACATCCGACCCTTTGGTGTTAGGGTTTGGTTTGTAATTTTATAACAACGAGCTGACCCGCGACATAGCATATGCCGCTATCTAGTTGTTTTATTTTCTACTTATCAGCCATTTACAGACAACAATGAAAATATCAAGCAGAACTTATTATCTCCTCTTAGTTTCAAATTGTTTAAAAACTAAATTATTTGCCCCTAATAGCTGTCACGTATTCGAACCAGCTCTACGATTGTAAGCATTCGGGGTAAACCACAGCTCACATGACAGGTGGGTGATGAGGGTGGTGGCTAAGCTGCGTGGTGTTTTCTATGGTCTCAAGGAAGAGAATTATGTATATATATATATATATATATATATATATATATATATATATATATATATATATATATATATATATATATATATATGCTGGAGGGGCAAGGATTTTAAAAAAGTAATGTTAGAAACTGAATTTTAGTAGTTATTTTTTTATGTTTTAAAAAATGTTTTTGTAGATTTTAAATAGAAAATGATTAAAATACACTCTGATTGACCCCTACATTGCAACACTGAGCTGTTATGGGTACAAAAAAACTTCCCCACCCTCTAGAACATGTCCACCACTCGCCACCTGTTCAAAATAGAAAAAAAAAACATAATTGTAGGCCTAAAGATAGAAACTATATAGCCCCTCTTTAGTTTCAAGTGCTCCCTTCACAGCTGTACTTGTTCTTGAAATTTCAGGCCCTCCCCCATACCCCTACACCCCCATGGAAGATGTCTAGAAAAAAACTGGTGCAAAAGACTTACTCGTCTTTTGCACCGTGATATATCTATCTGTTTCATAATGCCACTAAATACTATATTATTAAAGAAGGTTAAGGTTTGTTCACAAACCTTGTAATTTTTTTCTTCAATTTAATATTAAAAAGTAATAACTCAACATCCTTTTTGAGCAGGGGGTGGGGTGTATAGAGTGATATGTTTTCTTGGACCAAAACCAAAGTTAGGTAGGCTAATTGAAGTATCAGTTATGGCTAGTGTTATGGTTTATATTTAGTTTTTATGTAAGCTAATACTAATAGTTCTTAATTACTACAATGTACACAGCAACCCATTCATGATAAGAATACTTTATAGGAGGAGCTAAAAATACTCACTCCTGAAAGCAGAACCCACTCTCCAATCATCAACTTAGCTTTTACTTAAATAATTTTTCTCTCATTTGTTGGCTAGCATTGCTTTTTACATACAATTGTATAATCTTTCATAAGTACATTTATTTATCTTGCAAGAGAAGCATTTTTTTTTTTTACATTGGCTTACAACACATCTTAGAATTCTTAATAGTTTGAAAATGTTAACCTTTGTCTTTTACTTACACTAATATTTTATGAACTAGAAATTTTATTGTCTTGTTTAACTAGGCAGAGCAAAAATTTTTACAAGTTCAAGAAGACCGACGTGCCATGCAGCAAGAACTACATACTATTCAAGCTGAAGTTCGGACTGTAGGAGCTGAACTTGAAAAAACTAGTAGAACTGATACACATTACATTGATTTGGTTAAAAAAGAACATGAAATTCTTCTTATTGAAAGAGAAATGAATAACAAATTGAAAACTTTAGATAAAGCAGAGAGAGATTTTTTTTCCCTTTTAAGTGCAGCTTTAAGAGAGAGCCATGAAAAAGAACGTTCAAGAGCTGAAAAAACAAAATATTGGTCAATTATTGGTTCAATCATCGGTGCTGTTATTGGTATTGTTGGCTCTACTATTAATAATGTAAAAAGAATGAAAGAGTTAAGAGCCATAGTTGAAGAATCAGCCCAAAATACAGATAGCTATAAATTACTAATAAATAGATTACTAGATAATGCAACTGAAGAGCAGCTAAACATTCACCCTGATCATTTACTTAAAGATACGAGGAAAGTAAGGGGCTTGGCATTTTTAAATCCTGAAGAGTTAAAAAAACATACAGATTTAATATTAAGTAGTGTAGAGAGCTCATCAGAAATGATCTTCTCTCAAATAAACATACTTAAAGATACTATTTCATTTCAAACAGTGGGAGGTGATAAAACAAACATCAGTTGCTCTTCTAATATACTTGAAGGAGAAATGCTAGTAAAAGATATCCAAGAAAAGTTAGACACCAGTATAAAGAAAAATATATGGATTTCCACAACAGTTCTTAGTGGTATCATCACAATAGGTTTATCTGTTATTGTTTATATCTTGAGGGGATCAGACTGATAAACACATAATTACCTTGCCTAACTACAATTTTCCAGGAAAAATTGAAAAATTCCATGCAAGAAAATGGGATATAGTATTGTAAGGTGTTTAAATATTTATATTTTAAAATTAAGCTTGTATGTTGCATATAAAATGTAAAAGTTGTAAGCCTTTATTCATTTTTATTTTAAGTATAATGACTTATAATTTTTTTTTAAAAGTGTGTATTGTAAATATAAACCCAAAAAGTAAAACTGCAAGAAAAAGGTAAAAATCTTGTTACTCCATGAAACAAGTAGTACACTTGATGATCAATCCATCTAAGTTTTCATCAACTGTGTATTTGAATTATCATGTTTGTGAAACCCACAAAAGTCTGGACAAAATGATGTTTCTATTACTATTAGTAATTTTTCAGGCAGTTTTTTTTTATGTGCTTATTTGATTATGTTGTCTTCAATTTTGTAAGCTGTATTTTATTTTAAAGTCTTAAGAAAATGTACAAAAAATTTTTCATTAACATACATAATTTATAATGAATTAGATACTCTGTTTATTTGCAACTGTTTCTGATTTTAAAATATCAGTTTTGTGCATAATCAGAATAGCTATAGCCTACAATACAACTTACAAGGTTCAGTATGGCTATGGCCAAAAGTATCATCTAAGTTTGAAAATTAGTATATTTTGTTTTTAGAATTCAAACTCCTGTGATAAAATTGTTTTAACTTCTTTAATAATAAAACACTAGAGTACAGGGGTTCACAATCTGATGAAAATGTGTGTTTTTTTTTAATTTAAAATCAAATTATGACACCTACAGTAGATCTGAGTACATAGAAAAAAAGAAAAATTATAGCTATTGACTAATTTAAATGCAATCCAATGGTGACTGGAACAGTGCAAGGTCACATAAAAAAATACTTTTGTTGAAATAATTATTATATACTATATAATAATAAGAAATTCCATGCATTTTAACAACTGACGAAGTAAGATAACTAATTTCGGCTCATTTAGAATACCTATTATTAGTCTCTAGAACCAGTAGTACATTTAAAAGTAAGAACATTTATTTAGAATGCTTCAGTCGATATACCTTTGTGTTATAAACAGTGGCGTAGCGAGGTCGGGTATCACCCGGTGCGGCACTTAATGGTGTCACCCCCCAGAGGCGTAGCGACCCTTCCCGATTAGCACCCCCCCTCAAGTTTTCGATTTGCACCCCCCCCCTCAAACTTTCGATTTGCACCCCCCCCCCTCAAACTTTCGATTTGCACCCCCCCCCCCTCAAGTTTTTCTCTATATATTTTGCTATTTTTTGCCTTGGTGTCACCCCCCTAAATGGTGTCACCCGGTGCGGTCCGCACCCCCGCCCCCCCCCCCCCTCGCTACGCCCCTGGTTATAAATATGTATTTATACTAATTATACATAGCTGGTTCAACAATTATTGCGATATACAAAGTTAAGTACACTTGCTTATTTAAATACAACTACGTAGGCTAAATCAAAATAGATAACAATGCTAGTCTTGCATACTAACCCTTACACCGCGTTTACACTTATGACAAGTATACTAGACTTGACCTACTAAAGTGTATACTAAATATGTTACGTGTATATGGAACATCTTCTGAGTCGCAGGGCACAAAACCACGGTGAACGGAAAAAAGGGTGCCCTGTCCAAACGACCTGGTACAAATCGGCCCCGTCAAAACGGCCCCGTTAATATGACCCCGTCAAATCGACTCCCGACAAACCGACCCCGTCAAAATAGCCCCGTCAAAAGGGCCCCGACTTATTGGCTCCCGTCAAATGGGCTCCCGTCATATTGACTTGCGACATATAGGCTCCCGACAAATGGGCTCCCGATATTTAGGCTCCCGACAAATGGACTCCCGACATATTAACCCCTGACAAATAGGCTCAGGACATATTGGCTCCCGACAAAGCGGCTCCCGACATATTGGCTCCCGACATAAGGACTCAAGACAAATGGGCTCCCGACAAATGGGCTCACGACATATTGGCTACCGACATATTGGCTTTTGACAAAATGAATTCCGACATATTGGCTCCAGACCAATGAATGACCATTATTGGCATAAAAGTAACCATTTTGTCCTACCTCCAATACCACTAAAAATTCTTTTGAATGCCCGAACGAAATTGTTTTTCATGAACCAACATTAATTCACAAACAAATCGAGCCCTTAACAGCTAAATTCCACCAATTCTAAAGTTTTGATAATGTTTAATTTACAACAGAAAAGATCTGTTGCTTAAAAGCGAGCACAGAAGTGTAAATGTTTGATATAGCCTACATGATGTTTACATGATAACAGCATCTTGTTTTGATAACCTACAAGCATACTGCAGGTAGGAAGGTATAGCGTGGACCCTTCTCCCCACACACTGAGTTGGAACAGCCTATCGATTCAATTATGGATGTCATATATAGATGACCCTTAAATTAAAACATACTATATTTTATAATAGATAAACTAATATAAAAATAAGGCCTGCCGAACAAGAGATGCATACGTTGTATTCAGTGGCGGAACTAGAAAAAATGGGCTACCCCGCAAAAATATTTTTATCTATATCTGGCAGGTGTCATATTCAATGAGACCGCTTTGCCGGGCGACTTAGTCTCTACAGAAACGGTATTATCAGAGGTCCTTTTGTCTGGAGCCAAATTGACAGGAGCCTATTTGTCGGGAGTCGTAATGACGGGGGCCGTTTTGTGGAGTAACTAAATGGCCGGAGCCTATTTGTCGGGAGTCGTAATGACGGGGGCCGTTTTGTGGAAAAAACTAAATGACGGGAGCCTATATGTCGGGAGCCAAAATGACGGGAGCCTATTTGTCGGGAGCCTTATTGACTGGAGCCCTTTTGTCGGGAGCCTATATAACGGGAGCCTATTTGTCGGTAGCCTAAATGACGGGAGTCTATTTGTCGGGAGCCTATATGACGGGGCCCATATGTCGCTGGCCCTTTTGACGGGGCCGATTTGACGGGGTCGTTTTGACGGGGCCGTTTTTTCGGGGTCGTTTTGACGGGGCCGTTTCGTCATTGGCCGAATTGACGCCGCACGGAAAAAAGTCACAGGAAAAATAAACCGGGAGTGATCTCCCCTAAACTTTCTCGAATATTCTAATATAACACTATGGGGGATGGCAACTCGGGATATAGACTTCTAGTTAGACATGATTTTTAATCCATTTTAATTACTCAAATTTTTAAAAATAGAATATAATCTCGTAGAAAAAAGAAATGCACACCAAGTGAACGCTAAATAAAGATGTGCATAATAGTGCGCAATATTATTAGTACTTTATAAATTTACATGCGTTTTTTGAGAGATCGGAAATAGCGTAAATAAGTACTTCCGGTCAACGGAAATTACTCAACATTTGACAGAAGGTAGAGAATTAGATCTTTTACTTACATATCAAATTTCATTTATCTATCTGAAATAGTACTCAAGTTATATGCTTTTGAAAAATTCAAAGTAGAAAAAGTACCACTTCCGGTTATCGGAAATCGCTCAAAAGTTGATACGGATCTACGATTTTGATAAAATACTTATATATGAAATTTCATCAACCTAGCTGTAACGGTACTCAAGTTATCGTGTTTACACACGGACACACACACACACACACACAGACAGACACACAGACATACGGACAAGATTGCAAAATTATGTTTTTCCGTATCAGTGAGATGTAAAACGTCGAGATTTGCAAAAATCTCGATTTTTTTTTCGCACGATTACAATACTTTCTCTATACTTCGTATATACGAGAAAGTAAAAAACAAAAAAAGTCAGTTTTTTGCTAGGAAAATAAACCGGGAGTGATCTCCCCTAAACTTTCTCGAATATTCTTATATAAAATAACAGGGGATGGGAACTCGGGCTATATACATGATTTTTAATCCATTTTAAATACTTAAAGTTTTAAAAATAGAAAAAAATCTCGTAGACAAATTAATTGCACACCAAGTGAACGCCCAATAAAAAAGCGCATAATAGTGCGCAATATTATTAGTACTTTTAAAATTTACATTCGTTTTTTGAGAAATCAGAAGTAGCGTAAATTACTACTTCCAGTCAACGGAAATTACTCAAAGTTTAACAGAAGGTAGAGAATTAGATCTTTTACTTACATGTGAAATTTCATTTATCTATCTGAAATAGTACTCAAGTTATAGGCTTTTGAAAAATTCAAAGTAGGAAAAGTACCACTTCCGGTTATCGGAAATCGCTCAAAAGTTGATACGGATCTACGATTTTTAATATAATACTTATATGTGAAATTTCATCAACCTAGCTGTAACGGTACTCAAGTTATCGTGTTTACACACGGACACACAGACACACACACACACACAGACATACGGACAAGATTGCAAAATTATGTTTTTCCGTATCAGTGAGGTGTAAAACGTCGAGATCTGTAAAAATCTCGATTTTTTTTTTTGCACGATTACAAGACTTTCTCTATACTTCGTATATACGAGAAAGTAAAAAGTCGCAATGGAAACATTTTATCTGAAAAAAGGTCACAAAAATCTTTTTAGAAATGTTTTGATTTATTTGTTAAGAATTGTAAAATTGTATGTTTATTGTTGTGGGTTGTATTTTTTTTATAGCATAAATTATTTATAGACGTTAAAGTTAAAAGCATTATGGTTTATAAACATAAATTGTAAGTAAAAAGATAATTTACACAACAATCTCAACTTTTGTTACGTATTTAGTTTAATATATGCGGTAGAAAAGTTAACTATAAAAGAAATTTAGTCACATCATTGTGTTTTGCATATGTTTTGCCGTAGGCTATTCTCTGGTCAGCCTCCCCTCAGTGGGCATTGTCCGAACATATTTTGTGTAGTTGACGTTTTGATCCTAAGTTTTGTTATGTAATGAGCGTGATAAATATGGGCAGTAAAGGTGGTTGAACTAAACATAACTATTGTTGCGATGAGTTGGGGGCAGTAAGTCAGAGGACTGAGAGGACCTTACCATTTCACGGTAATTTAATTTAAAAAAAAACACGATGAAAACAGTGGACATTCTATTAAATGCTATTAATATTATGCTTAACATAATTACAATTACATAATTTATACAAAATATTTTTAGATGAATAATAAAAATAACTATGCGTATACAACCTACTCACATTCGTGCGGCGTCAAAACGACCCCGACAAATAGGCCCCGTCAAAAGGGCCAGCGACATATAGGCTACCGACAAATAGGCTCCCGTTATATAGGCTCCCGACAAAAAGGCTCCAGTCAATAAGGCTCCCGTCATTACGACTCCCGACAAATAGGCTCCCGCCATTTAGTTTCTCCACAAAACGGCCCCCGTCATTACGACTCCCGACAAAAAGGCTCCTGTCAATTTGGCTCCAGACAAAAGGACCACTGACACAGTGGCGAAGCTACCGTAAAGCTAGCGTAAGCAAGGCATAGGGGCCCAAGGCACACAGGGGCCCTTTTCCCTCATAAAAAATTAAAACTTTTACAATGGAATTTTAATATTTGTTACATATAAATAATTTTAAAAAAGAAAAAGGTTAAAAGTTCCAAAAAGCCCCCCCCCCCACCGTTTCGGCAGTGGGATTCGGTGTGTGTGTGTGTGTGGGGGGGGGGGGGGTCAAACAGCCCAATCGTTATAATAACACTACAGGCGATATCACTTTGTCGTGCAAGACATTGAGAGAATCAGCCTATAAATAAACTTTTTAGCAGTAG